ATAAATTATAACACAGCACTTTTCTTACCTTTGTAGTCCACCATAAACTTATAGGATGTATTTTGCTGAAGAAATAATGAAACACTTATTTTTTAAAAACATATTGGGGGGAATTCCCTGGTGGTCCAGTGGTTAGGACTCCATGCTCTCACTGCTGAGGGCCCAGGTCCAATCCGTGGTCAATGAACTAAGATTCCACAAGCCAGGTGGCACGGCCAAAAAAAAAAAAAACAAAACATATTGGGTGCATGAAGACAACCTAACCTATATTTGATGTATGAGATCTAGTTTTGTGTTCTAAAATTCAAAATTGTAGCTGAACCACAAATGCCAGTCTTGAGTACCAGTGATCACACTCCATTCCTGCATTACTCTGCCAATCTTTTTTCCAGTTCATGCACTTGCTCACAAAGTATTTCAATATTAGATGCATGAGTGTGCTGTGATACAAATGTCATTTAAAAACCCTTAACAGATGTATTATGCAGTAAGCTTAGAACTAGAGTAATTATGCTTGAAGTGTGTATCTGTCCCTTTTCCTCTTCTCTTCCTTCTTTCTTGCCCCAATTTTCTTTATTCCTTCTTTTTTCTCTCAATCTTGCCAGATATTTGTAGTACAAATATAGAAAGATCTGCATATGCTACAGAGAAAAGAAGAATGTGTAGTCTACAAACTCTCATAAACAACCTGATATAATTAAACCCTATAAATTTCATGGTCTGTCAGTCACAAAGATTGTTTACTGGTTACATTTAATACTCAACAAGGATAGTTTAGTCTGTGATTTAGGTCCTGTAGAAAATGAAGCTAATATCATTGTTAATTTACATTACTTCAAAGACTTGGTTAATGGTCAGATGTCCACTTTGATAAGAGTGAATTAAACAGGCAAAAAAATACAATATCCCAAAACATCTTAATGAAACAATGTTAAACTAACTTTGAATAAGGAACTACACTCTGGTAGTGTTACTGGTACCTAAAAACATTATAAAACATATGTTTTAGGTGACATTTATATATGTTGGGCAATTGGTCTTACCACTTTTTAGAATACAGAGCCATGCCTTTTTAAAATGACTGATGATAGAAAAATGGTGAGGAGTATTTTAGTAGGAGAAGAGAATTAGCTTTAGAAGCATGGTTTTCTGTTGTCCTGTTTTAATAAATTAATTTATTTCATTGTTTTATTTTTCTGTTTTCTGAGTAAACCTAAAGGTAGTACTTGCTTAATTGGTAATTAACATTTTTACAGGAGGCTGATGCAGATTTCAACACCTTTATTATTATTTAATTTGCAGTGATGTTTCTTATATTTTGGAAGATAATAATTCTGGAAGAGCATAATAATTTATCCATGCAGATTAGTATCAGTTGTTTAGAGTATTAAACCAATAAACCTGAATTAATGTAGTAAGACTTTATCAAATATATGGCAATATATGCTGATTTTATAATTTTTTAAAAATTGCTACAAAAAGAATTTCAGTGACATCTTTGTATAGGTAAATGGGAGAAAAAGTAAAGGTTTATGGTATGTGACAAGTTCTCCTTTGAATTCCAGAATGTATCTGGTCTTGTAAGATTTTTCAGTCTTGATTCAAATAAGCATGTAGTGTCATCAGAATGCATTTGCTCTTTCAACAGCGGGTTATCTCTTTTATTACAGTACTGATATAGATTTTATGTATATGACAGAAGTTCATTTAAAAAAGAATTGATAGATCTTAAAAATTAAACAAAAGTAGCCTATTAAAATTAATGATTTCACAAATTAAATGATGCTTAGTGGATAAAGGCAATTTTCAGATAAATTGTATTTTTCAATGGCAGGTCTATCTGGCCATTTGCATGTTGGACTTTATTATGTTTAGTACAATAAGTTGTTCCTTTATAGCATTTGTTTCCCCTTAATCAGTGGTTTTGCATTGTATCTAAGTGACATTGAATGGCCTAGACTTAGAGAATACTATGAGGTAGGATGTATGTGCCCAGGCATGTAAAAACACACACATAATACTGTTGGCCCTCCAGATCCATGCATTCAGCATGAATGGATATGGAGGGCCAGCTGTAAGGCACTTGAGCATCCATGGATTTTGGTGTCCACGGGGGATCCTGGAAACAATTCCCCATGGTTTCTGGTCTGTACTCTCCCGCACCTTAAAGCCAGGGTGAATTCTTTCAACATTGGCACAGGAAACTCAGGGCACAAATCACACAAACTTTTAAGGTAGTTAATGGGAAAGAGGAAATACAGAAAGTTTTGAGAAAGCCAGCATGCGGCCAAAAACAGCAGGTATGGCCATATGGCAATTGAATTAGAAAAGGGATTCTTGCCACACTGTGGTCCAGAAGGTAGTCAAGCCCAGGCAGCCATCAAGGAGAGAGGATTTATTTAATACATGTTAAGTGTTTCATATCGCCTCTTTCACTGTTCAGTTCCTCAGAGAATTGAAATCTGTTGTACCAAATAGATATTGAAGAATTTTCTTACAGAAAAAAATAACTTCTACAGTAATTTCACTTCTACATTTAGAGATCACTATGCCAAAAGCATATTTATTTCCAAATAAAGCATTTGCAAAACAAAGACCTTTTTTGAAAAGTATAAAAGTTTTGTAAGGCTAAAATTTAATGACATTATTTTATTTTAACAACACATTTGGTGAAATTATGTAAATTTTTAAAATTCTCTACTTTATCCAAGACATTCTGTAATATTGTAATTAAAATTGTTTGTCTAAGAAGTCATTAACCTGTAGAATAACAGTTTTCATAAATTCTTGAAATACATTTTCCTTTGAAAACAGCTTGCTGAAAATGTGTTTTGGTTCTCACATTAGCTCTCTAAAACTCGTCTGACCTACAGAAGAACAGGGGCTGTACTATTAACAGTCATTCTTAAATGTATTATTAGTATATCATGCTGTTACAATTTCGGCAACATTCTTGGACTCTGGTGTATGTGTTTGTGTGTATGTGTATGTTTTTGTATGTTTTAATTTGGGAATATGTCCATGATTTGTCCTTTATTGTCCTTATCTTGAGGGAAAATGTGGTCTTTGTTGAGGACCCAGAGAGACCCACAAATATTTCCCCTTCTCTGGTCTCCCCGCAACACACACACACACACTCCTTTGTTATTAGGGCGGTAACAAACTAGCCTCTGGTCAGAATGAAGACAATGTTCATATTTCAACCTTTGTGTTCTCTGGTTTGTTTCTGCTTATTGGCAATACCACACTCTTATTTTCCATGACCAAATTTTTTGAACAACAGCACAACAAAAAGATAACCAATTACTCAAACAAACTAATGGCTAATAGTTTAAGTATTGATTGCCTCCCTAATAACATTTTTTCAAATTGGATTATTATGTTTATTTTGAATAAAGAGAAATTATATGTCTATGTAAAAAATATGAACTTGTAGTCAGTTTCTTATTGGACTGCAAATATTACACTCCAGTTGAAATTAGTTTACATATATTTAACTTAATAGAATAAGGCCAGATTTTCTTGTTTTGAAATCACTTTTTTTCAGGGCATTTGGTTATTTCTTTACTTAAAAATCTAGCTTCTAACCTTTTCCAAAACAATTCAAGTTACATAAAAGTAAAAAAATAAAACATAATAAACATCACTGCCACTATCACTCAAATGTTAAAACTATTAGTATTTTGGCACATATCTTTCAGTAATTACTAAAATAAAGCACATGGCTAAAGCCTCTTTCATCTGCTTCTGGTCCTCTGTACTCACATATGAGAGGCAATCACTAATCTGAGTTTGATGATTTTCCCATTTCATTAAAAAAATTGCATACATATATGTATCTGTCAAAAATATGTGTATTATAGTTCAAAGATGTATAGATTCTTCACTTTGCTTTTTCACTAAACTTTGTTACTGCGGTCTATTCTATTGACATATAAACATCTACTTCCTCCCTCTTGACTATTTAATGACATTTCATCATATGAATAGGGAACATTTTATTTATTTATTCCTGTATTGACATATATAAAGTTCTTTCTACATAGCTTTTCTGGTATTCCATTATTGCTGAGGTTTAAGTAACAGTTACATAATAATCAGAAATATTTACATACTTTGGATTTGCTCTTTTAGACCACTTAGCAAAGCACTCGACTGTTTTCCACTGGAGATGTTTTCTTTTTTAATTATGCCTCAAATATAGCTAAATGACAAATAATTCAAGATATGATTTTTAACATCAAATGTAATTTGTTCAAAATTTACATTAATCTTTCTCATAACTAGTCACTTCCATTTTGTCTCCCTGTCATCCTGAAGAATGAAAATGTAATTTCCCAGAGGCTTTAAGAATTGAGGGAGTATTAAATGTAACTGAAATTAAGTGATTAATAATTTACTCTTGGGTCATGAATCAACTTCATGGGATGCTAAGGATAATTTGCAACCCCAGAAGCACTAGAAGTAACAATGCACTTTTTAAGACTTAAGAACTCTCAAAGGTTGGCTGCCCAACCTAATTAAACTTCAGTTTTCTGATACCAAATTTATTTCTTCTTTGTCCTGAATTTCCTCAGATCTTCTTGACAGGAAAATGTCACTTTACCTGACAGCTGATAGACAGGTTATGTAGCACCATAATTGGAGAGAAAAAGATAGCTTAAAGCTACTCGATTTAATGGCTATGTGTATGGCTTTTTCTTTCTTTCTTTTTCTTTTTCTTTTTTTTAAGGTTTCTATGACAGACACAAAAGGCCCTAGCAAATAGGCCCAGTGCCATTTTTTTCCTGCTTCCTCTAGGGGTGATTATCTTACTCCATCAATAGTGCTGTCAGAAATTGGGCACATAATTCAGCATTTAAATGAACAAGCAATGTAATATTTCCTGTCTCCCAGTGGAATGCTTTGCAGCTCACATTCTTCTCTGTCACTCGCTCACTCTTGATGTATGTCCCATATCCAGTCCTTGAATGCCTTCTCTTCCTTGTGTTTCATTGCAGATGTTGGCTTCGACTTGACACCTACTTCATTTGGAGTTTTATAGGACCAGCGACCTTGATAATTATGGTAAGAACTCCTAATTAACTATGTGTTTCCCAGGTCAAGAAATAAAACTTTCACTATCCTTGTGCTGTCTATCTTTAATTTACATAGAGTAATTTTGGGAAAGCATGTACTTATTTGACCCTGTGTAACTCAAGCAATTAGACACTCATTATAGTCTACTTTTATATTGTAAAATACTTAATCAAAACCCTTGGGAGAAGAAAACATGCATTTGCAAGAGCTTATGCAGTACTGTGGCTCCTCAGGGGCCTGATCTAGCATAATCCATTTGGTTTTATAGGTTTTAAACAGTGATGACTTTGTTTGACAATAGTACATTTTCTTTCTTTTTCATTTGGATAATTTGAATTATGAATGGAAACGGACATTGGAAATGTGGCAAAATAACCTTCCTGTTCCTTCCAGTTTTGTTTTTATATAAATCTCAGAAACTTTAAAATTTAAGAGGATTTCACATGAGAATGATAAGTAAGTTAGGTAAACATTCTGGAATCATACTTTCTTTTTTTTTATTTTTAAATGCATAATATCTTGATTTCAAATATGCATTATTTATCCTAATTGAGATACTATTGGTGGTATATTATTTATATACTTACCATTTTAAAATACAAAATAGCCCCAAGTTCTGGAATATATAAACGAAGCAGGTGACAAGGGCAATTCAACATGTGGTTTTCTATACAGTTTACATATGTGTGATATTTGAAATGTACACTGGAGCTTTTATTTTGTTTTGTTTCAAATCATATGTTCTCTCTTGGTCCAGTGATATAACAATGTCAGTGGGGGTTCCCTCTACTTTAATCCTAATTTGTTGTAGCATCAAAATTTAACCAGCATTTTATAATCTTTTTGACCTAGCTATTCAAAAATATTATGATTTTTGTATTTATGTTTTGTAATGTAGCACTTGAACAGTAAATCAAGGGCCATGTTTAAAGGGTAGATATAGTAACACACCTGGAATAATTACTGTCTTTTAAAAAAATATATACTTGAAAAAAATATATATATATATATATACTTGACTTGGCTTTGTCTTGCAGTTTCCATATCATCATTCCAACTGCTGCTGATTTTGTATGTGTGTGTATTTGGCATAGCAGTGCTTTGTAACTCATTGGTATCCTGAGTTCCCAAACTGGCCTCTTGCTTTTACTAAAATACTAGGCAGTCACCTATGATCCAATTCCTTTTTAAGTGTAGGAGAGCTAATTTCCCAGAACAACTCATCTGTCATAGAGAATACACTTACTTTTTTTTCTACTCCAGTTATGCAATATAACAGTACCTTTTACATTCCAGCTTAATGTAATCTTCCTTGGGATTGCTTTATATAAAATGTTTCATCACACTGCCATTCTGAAACCTGAATCGGGCTGTCTTGATAATATCAAGTAAGTGATTTTTCTTTTTCTTTTCTTTAGTCTACCTTACTTTGATACACTTAACTATCCCTCCTTTTCATTGTATTGAAATCTTATGGCAAAATTATAAAGATCAATGTGTTGTCTTTGCTGAATAAGATCATTTATTGACTATTGAGGTGACTTGATCTGCCTGAAAATAAGTATAGTGAAGTTCTGTCTTCAAAGAAACTTTTCCCCCTAAATTCTTATTTGCAGTATGATAAGTTTTTATTAGATGCATTTATTTATTTTGTCCAGGAAACAAAGTTGCTGTGTCTGGGCAGACTATTTTGTTAGAGCTATAACCACACCAGTACTCAACACTCCATCTCTCCCTTCAGAGCAGTGTGAAGAGAGTGAGATGGTGGCACCTGCAAGTACCAAAAGGGGGATTTTTACACCAGAAGAGAGGAACCCTGAAATTATTAACCTAGGTGTTTGCAGAGGAGCTGTTGTACAGCTGCCCTCCTCCCCTCCTGAGAGAGAAAAGGATACCTCAGCTCCCTAATGTAAAATCCTATTGTATACATATATATGGCTCCAGGTTGTACCCCCTTTGAAATGTTAACATTTACCTCTTGGGAAGTAAATCTCTCCATAAGACTGTCACTACCTATTCCATCATCTTTTAATTCCTAAGGTTTATCCTTTAACCCAAATTCTACTTTTTTATCCTCAAAAACCTGAACCATGCAGAGATATGAAAATATCCACAATCCTTTCCTCACTAGTAGTACTTCTTTTATATATATGCAAAAAGAAGACAATTTACATTCTCTGGGGAAAAAAATAGTTCTTTAGTGTAACCAAAAATTTTGTCTTATTCCCTTAGAGGCTGTGACACTTGAGAAAGAGTAATGTGAACATGTACTTTAGTCATTAATATATATTCTATATTAAGTAGCATTTGTATATGATTTGCCTGTGCTATGTGTTAACTTGGTTAAATGTTTTTATTTCAATGAATGCACTTTCAGAAGTTTCATGAGGTCTCCTGTGACTTTCATGTGCTACTGACATTCTCCTTGAACTACCTTGATAGCAGCTATGTCACCCATTTTTCATCCTCCTACATTCAGTGCCTGACATAGTTCCTTGCCCATAGTAGGCCTTCAATGAATGTTTATAGACTAAAGTAATACATTAAAGACTGTAGTGACAGAAGTGTATTGACATTAAGTATTTAATTTTGTTTAAGGGGTCATCTGTCTACATTAGTTGAAAAGGTAGCTAAGGAATTAGAAAAAATAATGTAATGGAGCAAACTAGAAGTTATCTACTGTGAGTAATAGTCTTTTGTACTTCTTAATATTACTTAGTTGAGTCATTATACTGTTGAATTATGTACAACTAGACTGCCCTTCTAAAATGCAGTATTAGTTCCTTGGACTGTTTGCTCCTGATAATATTGAATTTGGATTGTTAAATAGGCACATAAAATATAATTTCTTTATCTTATCATACTTCTACTCACTTTAGTATAAATTGCATCCTTATATCTATTATTGTGTAATATAAAACAAAATGCATATAATACTCTATTATCATTTTTGTTATGCTTTTAAAGTACTATCAGAAAGAAGTGAATAATACTTTTTTATGTAACAGCTTTTACCAGATTAAAAATGCAAAAAGGCCTTGTACTTATTTAAAAGATAGATTTGTATTCTCATTATTCATATGTATTTCTTTAGGTAATATGGGTTGAATGTCTGTGATATTACTATTTAGAAAAACAAACACACAAAAGCTAATAATTACATTTAATGATATTGATGGCATCAAACTTTATATTACAAAGCAAAATAAAGCCTTAAATGAGACTGTCTTGATTTGAATTCTGTCTAAACTGCTTTATAGTTTATAGCCTTTGGAAAGTTTATCTAACCTGCTGAGGCTTCCTATCCTCTTTAAAATGGGTATATGAAACATACCCAGCCATCAAACGTGCAGAGGTATGTAATCAGTCTTTGATGATGCTTTTTAAGGAAAAATCAATAAGGCTCAAGGAGAGAAATTAAGTAGCTATTAGAAAGAATATGGAGGGTGGTTTTAAGATGGAAAAAAAGAGGATATAGGGCTTCCCTGGTGGCTCAGTGGTTGGGAGTCCGCCTGCCGATGCGGGGGATGCGGGTTCGTGCCCCGGTCTGGGATGATCCCACGTGCCACGGAGCGGCTGGGCCCGTGAGCCATGGCCGCTGGGCCTGCGCGTCCGGAGCCTGTGCTCCGCAAGGGGAGAGGCTGTGGCAGTGAGAGGCCCTCGTACCATAAAAAAAAAAAAAAAAAAAAAAGAAAAATAAAGTTGGAGGCCACACTAAAAAATTTCAAGACTTACTATAAAGCTACAATAGTTGAAAAAAAAAAAAAAAAAAAAAAAAGGGGGGGGTGGGGATATGGGTATGCTGATGGGAAGGAACCAGTAAAAAAGTGGTTAGAGATAGAGGAAAGGAAATCAGTGTTATAGTCATGACCTGAGGAACTATAGGGAGTGAGATCCAGAATAGCGGGAGAGTAATTCCACTCCATTCATTTTCATGAAGGACACTTTTCTACTGAGATAAGAGAAGCCAGCTAGGAGGATTCTTTTCTGCTCAGACTAGATAAAATAAATAATAGGCGTGATGTAGATATGTGGTGGAACCAGTGTAGAGCAGTAAATTGACGGATTTCTGCCTACTCTCCTCTACAAAGTAGGAAAAATCATCTACAGGATATGAGAGCATGCAGGAGAGAGATAATAAGAGAGAAATCTCAAAAAAATAATCCTTAGAACTTTCCAGAATCTGAAGGACATTTTATTTCATTTAAAATATGTTAACTATTTAATAAGTGCTTGTAAAAAAAATCACCAGGGCATAATTGATAAGGAAAGAATTTAAGAAAGGTTTAAGCAGAACACAAAATCTGGCATCCTTTTTGTTTTTAACAAAAATAAGGATCTGTATAATATGAATTTTTAAGTGATATGGGTGATGTGAGAGTATTTTAAAGGCATAGCATCATTTATTTGCAATATGTTCTTTTTTTAGTACAGGAAAAGGGCATAAAAGTTAATAATGTTTTCTTGGGGATTTTTTTGTATTTTTGTAAAGTGATGAATAAGATGCACCACCTTGGGCAGTTTATTGAGAAAATAAACTCACCATATAAGGCTTTTGCTGGTCAGTGTCTTTCTAAAACCATTCATTTATCAAATATTTGTTACTTTTATTACACACATTCTTTCACATAGAAATATCTTCTTTATCTAAAATGTGTTTGCTTCTCCCCATGTTCACTACCACCACTTCCTTTTTGGCCACCATGAAATTCTGCAAAGCTGCTTCAGTGGTCTCCTGACATTTTTCCCCATACTGATTCTTGCTCCTACCTTCATTAGCTAGAGTGATCTCTTGAAAAGTTTAAAGCTGATTATGCAACTCTCTTGGGTAAAACTCTTCAGTGATTTCCAGTTACTCTTACACTAAAGTCCAGACTTCCTACCATGGCCTACTTAGCCTTCCTGGTCTAGTTGTCGCTTTTTAAGCCATGTGCCCCTCTGGCCATTCTGGGTGTACTCACTTGTGCTTCAGGTCTTATCTGCTGCTACTCTACAGATTTTCTTTTCCCTAACACTGCATGGCTAACTCTAATTTATTCTAATTAATTTAATTATTATTTTAAAATAATTTAATTATATTTTAATTTTAAATTTACTTCACAGTCATCATAATAAACACCTTTTGATATTAGTATAAAACATTCATTTCGTTGGCTCATTACTATATTAATGATATACTCTGGGAAAAAAATAATAATAGAGTAAATTCCTATAGTTAACGTGATTACAGAGGAAATGAGGTACCCCAAGTCTCAGATTTAACTACAAAAGTACTTAAAACTAAACAATGCATTTCGGTTTGCTGTTTGCTTACTTGTCCTTTGTCTTCTTTTCATCAAAATAGGTAATTATATTTGGAGGAAAAAAGTAATTCCTCCATTTGAATTTTCTGATTTAATTTCAGACAAGTTGAAATTGGAGCTTACAGTAATCATAGCAAAAATCTAACCTAGTTCTTAAAAACTAATATAAATATAAATAAAACAGTTAATGAATTGTTATCAGTACAAAATTAATTTATAGTATCACTGTAGTATTATGACAGAACTTTAATTCTTGAGGAGCATTTATAGCACGCTTGACATTTAACTTAGAAATAAAAATTGATCATTTCTGTAGTTATCAACTACTTCTCTTGTTGAAAAAATATTTAACAGCATCACAAGTACTTTGCAGAATTAAAAGAAATAATAGAAGCTTTTAGGGCTAAGAAAGAAAATTGGTGCCCGTATGGAGAGACAAGTAATCTACTAAGCTTCCCTTTCCTATGTCTGACCCTTTGCCCTTTTCCAGGGACAGACTTCTGCATCCAAGATTCTGATTTTGACCTAGTCCGGTTTTCCAGTTTCTGGTATCTCCCCTTAACTTGGGTTTTACATGAGTGATGGGCTGGCAAACACAATGTCAGATCTTTTAAAGAAACACCTTTCACTTTCCTTCCTTCCTCCCTGTGCTCTAATTGCTAAAGGAGGGTGTAGTGCTAAAGAGGAGCAAAAACTCGTGTCATACACAATTTCAATTTGGATTTCAGTTCAGTCCTGTGATGGTTATATGATCTTGCAAGTTACATCATGGCTTTCAGTCTCAGTATCTCCTCAGAATTGGGAATAATTGATTCTACTTTGTAGAGTTTTGCTATAATTAAATATAATCATATATGTATACCATACAGCTCATAATTCAGTATTCATACAGTATGGTTTGATTATTTTTAACCACTCTATGTGGAAATATATTGCTGCCTTTGGTTCTCTGTGTTTTCCTTAGTGAAATTTGCTCAACCTCTTATCAAAATCTCATTAGAATTTGACTGGCTTTGTTTCTTATGTAGTGTCATTGCCTGATATGATCCTTTTTTTTTTTTTAAGCCAAAGTTATCCTATTATGA